GCATTAATTATTTTTTTCATTTTAAGTTCAAAGCCCTTAAAACTTTTCAATGTTAACACAAACCATTTTCATACAATGTTCAAGGCACTAAAATTATTCAGTCTTAACCTTTTAAAAATAGCATATTTCATATTTGTAGCCAAAATAATGGCTACATATATTTCCACAAAAGTATGAGTGCTGAAACTGAAAGTTCAAAATTTTTCCAACATTCAGGAAAGATAAGTTTGTCTAAAATCATTGAACCACGACCAAATTCAAACTTAAACTGCTTATTCCTAAGATGTATCTATATTATTTTCAAAGTGAAAGGGACATAACTCTGCCAAAAAATCATCAAACCATGACCAAATTCCAACTTGACCTGCCTATTCCTTTGACATATCCATATGTCAAATTTAAGTTGAATATGTAACACTGATGGGTAGATAATGAACAAAAACGGTAAATTTCATATTATTTTCAAAGTGAAAGGGGCATTACTCTGCCAAAAATCATTGAACCATGACCAAATTCGAACTTGGCCTGGGCATTCCAAAAACATATCCATATGTCAAATTTGAGTTGAATGTGTTGTACAATTGGGGAGATAATAAACGGAAACTGAAAATTTCATATTACTTTCAAAGTGAAAGGGGCATAACTCTGCCAAAAATCATTGAACCATGACCAAATTTGAACTTGACCTGTATTTTATCATGACATATCCATATGTCAAATTTGAGTTGAATGTGTTGTACCTTTGGGGAGATAATGAACGGAAACTGAAAATTTCATATTATTTTCAAAGTAAAAGGGGCATAACTCTGCCAAAAATCATCGAACCATGACCAAATTCGAACTTGACCTGTATTTTCTCATGACATATCCATATGTCAAGTTTGAGTTGAATGTGTTGTACTGTTGGGGAGATAATGAACGGAAACTGAAATTTCATATTATTTTCAAAGTAAAAGGGGCATAACTCTGCCAAAAATCATCGAACCATGACCAAATTCGAACTTGACCTGTATTTTCTCATGACATATCCATATGTCAAGTTTGAGTTGAATGTGTTGTGCCGTTGGGGAGATAATGAACGGAAACTGAAAATTTCATATTATTTTAAAGTAAAAGGGGCATAACTCTGCCAAAAATCATCGAACCATGACCAAATTCGAACTTGACCTGTTTTTTCTCATGACATATCCATATGTCAAATTTGAGTTGAATGTGTGCAACCGTTACTAAGATAATGAACGGAAACTGATGATGACGGAATGACAGAATGACGGAATGACGGAACAGGGTAACACTATATGCCCCGGCCGGCCATTACATGGCGGGGGCATAAAAATCACAAAATGACTGTAAATATCATAACACAATGAAAAGTCTCCAAATCCAACTGATTCTGTATAATAACCAGTTCTAATACTTTCTGTGTCATCCCATGACTATAACAAAGTGTAAACACCTGTCTCATGGTTATGACATAGTGAAGGCTTGGGTAATATTTCTCCATTTTGGAATAAGCGCTTTCTCGAGTTCTAGCAAGTCCTGCATTCCAAGTCACCCGATCTAAACATCACAATTGTCGGCTGAACTGAACAGGCGTGTGAGACAGCGGCAAAAAACACGAGCAAACCCTTATTAAGGAATAGAGATCTGTGAGGCAGAGGTGTATACTTTGTTATAGCCAATTGGGAGGACATACAAAGTGTTAAAACTGGTAAAAATAAGTTTAATGGGATTCAGAGACTGTTCAGTGTTACGATTTTTACAGTCATTTTGTGACTTTTCAGTTTACAGTAGCATATTTGTTTTGCTATTTTTTCTATTTTCTTATCAGTGAATTGTAAAAATAATTCCAAGTAGTAAGTACGATATGTTGAATTTTGTAAAGTCCAAATTTGAACAAAATCCGTTCACAAATAACCTATTTATACAGAAAAAGTGTCAGTGTCGGGTTATAAGTGCCTCTGAGTGTACATTCGTTCAAGGATTTTAGTTTAGAGGTAGAGCAGTATATTATTATTAATAAATAAATAAATATAGCATACCATTACTCGGAGTCACTCTTTTTGGCTTGGGGATTCACGGAGTCCAGAGGACTTAATTGTCACTCGTTATTGACGCGGAGTCACTCTTTTGTGTACGAGAAATTTAATATCCACTCGGAGTCACGCTTTTTGTAATTACTTGTTACTCGCAGGAATTTGCATATTCCTCGTTATCTGTACTGTAATTGATAACAATGTCCAATATGGAAAACGTTTGTCTACCCTATAAAAATAAGTGTGGGGCTAATTTTCGATCCATAAGGGGCTTAATTTGTCCACCTTGTCATTTCTTAAACTTTACGTGTTATTATTGGTAGATTGGGGAAAGTAATATTTCATTTACTTGACAACCAATAATTGCTGATTGTGGCATTGGGTCCTTTTAACTTATGAGTTTGAACTGTAGTGGGTGTAAAATTACATTTAAATATATTTTCTGAAGATAATATGTGATAATATAAAATCACAATTTATTGATTTTACCAATATTTCAGGTTTACGATATATACCAAAACAAAAATCTTTTCTATTGTCTTAATATCCTCCTTTTCATGTGATGATTCAAATAAGACAAACAGAATTCATTGCACTATCAGAATTTTCAGTGCAAAATGGTTGTAACTTGAGATACAACCATTTTGCACAGAAATTTAACAGCAAGTTGAGATACAACCTTTTGACAAATATTGATTTAACTTGTTAATTTTCAGAATCCATTTAAAATACTTACTGAGGATATGCAGAACCACAAAATACATTGAAAATGTTAAAAATGCTATTTTTTGAAAAAGAAGAAATGAGTTACAACCGTTTTGTGTAAGCCCGCAATTTTCATGTAACATCTTTAAGCAATTTTAACAGAAATGTAAGCGCATTTAAAATAAACTGGCATTTATGTATTAAAGAAGTAAAAGATCTAACAAATTAATTAACTGCTTAAGTTTTAAGTAAGTTTAGGGGAGCAGTAGCATGTCTCACAACCATGTATCAAGATTTCCAGCCCTATTGTGGTCCCAACCTTGTTTTTTTATACGACACAATTACTGGAAAGTTTCAGGAAGAAGACTGCAGAGGAGAGCTTTAAAACCTAAATTTCATCATAATCAATTTTTAATAAATAAATTAAGCCTTACATGACTGTATAACAAAAGATTATTTCACACATGTGCCCTCAATAACTATATATCTGAACATTTTCAATATAATCCTTTTCAAATTTTCTACCAATTGCAAACAAAATAAAATTCAGATATATGGGGGAGGCTAAAATGTTTGTAAAATCAACATTTCTGACATGAGGTAAAATAATTGCTAATGATACTGATGTAGCCTAATAGAGCCTTACAGTGTAAGGAGATAAGACATTTTTGTCATTAGCCAGATCTCAAATATGTTTTTAAGGTTTACGCTGAAAGACATTGGATACCTAATTCAACAAGAGCCATGTCAACATGGCCATCCCCCGCCGAATGTGTTTGCTCATTGGAAGAATGTATATGTAGTAGAGCAGAATAATTCCATTTTAAGAGGTCTTTTGGTAATGAAAACTGATGGCTATAGTGATTACAGATTTGAAACCTATGTGAATACTGATGGCTGAAAATAACAAAGGGCAATAACTGAAAAATATTGCAGGGTAGGTTATCATTCTTGTGTGCTGCATCCCTCCTAAGTAAAATCTATCCACCTATGAAGTTTCAAGTTGATACCTCAAATACTTTTTGAGAAAAAATTGAATTGAAAAATTAAGTATGAAAAATAACAAAGGGCAATAACTCAAAAATTATAAAAGGTAGAGTTATTATTCTTGTGCACTGCACACCTCCTGAGTTAGATCTATGCACCTATGAAGTTTCATAATGATATCTCAAAGGCCTTGTGAGTTATGCTCTGGACAAAAATTAATTTTGAAAAATAAAAAAGGGCAATAACTAAACAATTATGCAGGGTAGAGTTATCGTTCTTGTGCACTGCACACTTCCTCAATGAGATCCATCCACCTATGAAGTTTCAAGTTGATACCTCAAATACTTTTTGAAATAAGCTCCAGACAAAATAGTATGAAAAAGAACAAAGGGCAATAACTCAAAAATTATGAAAGGTAGAGTTATCATTCTTGTGCAATGCACACCTCCTGAGTGAGATCTATGCACCTATGAAGTTTCATTTTGATATCTCAAAGGCATTTTGAGTTATGTTCTGGGCAAAAATTAATTTTGAAAAATAACAAAGGGCAATAACTCAAAAATAATGCAGGGTAGAGTTATCATTCTTGTGCACTGCACTCCTCCTCAATGAGATCCATCCACCTATGAAGTTTCAAGTTGATACCTCAAATACTTTTTGAGATAAGCTCTGGACAAAATAGCATGAAAAAGAACAAAGGGCAATAACTCAAAAATTGTATAGGGAAGAGTTATCATTCTTGCGCACAACATTCCTCCTCAATAAGATCTATCCACCTATGACATTTCATGTTGATATCTCAAACACTTTTTGAGTTATGCTCCACTCAGGTGAAAAATTAAGTATGAAAAATAACAAAGGGCAATAACTCAAAAATTATGAAAGATAGAGTTATCATTCTTGTGCACTGCACACCTCCTGAGTGAGATCTATGCACCTATGAAGTTTCATGTTGATATCTCATAGGCTTTTGGAGTTATGCTCTGGACAAAAATCAATTTTGAAAAATAACAAAGGGCAATTACTCAAAAATTATGCAGGGTAGAGTTATCATTCTTATGCACTGCACTCCTCCTCAATGAGGTCTATCCACCTATGAAGTTTCAAGTTGATAACTCAAATACTTTTAGAGATATGATCTGGACAAAAATGTCGGACGGAAGGTCGGACGGAGACTATTTCTATATCCCCCGCCGCCTTTTCGGCGGGTGATAAAAACACAATTATTTCCTCAAGAATTAAGATCTAATGAGAAAAAATAATCACATTTACCATCTCTGAATCAAAAAATGAAGATTTATGAATGTTCCATTCCTTTAGCAGGTGGCCTTGTTTGTAGATGTCACCCTCCCAGGCAGGCTGGTATTTCTCTCAAGGTTTTCACTGTTCCCAAAAGGTTTTATACTGACTCTCTCAAGCCCTTTAACACATAAAACAAAATACAATATTATTTAATTATTAGTTTTTAGAAAATATATCTCATCTGATCAAAACTACTTGTAAAATTTTACTATGACAGTAAAATTCATTTCAAGATTTTCCTATCAATTTTCATGTCTTGGAAATGTTTTGTTTTACATATTAAGACAGGAAACTACAGTTCTTTGATGAAAAAAGAAATTTGCATTTTATTGTGGCTATTATTTCTTTAGATTTACAAACACAACATTGCAAAAGAAAAAGAAATGAAAACATTATAGAATGCTAAAAATTGCAAAATTGAGAATGCTGCCAGCAAAGTTTGACCCTGTATATATGGGCGGCAGTAGTAAATTAAAGCTATTATCCATGTCCCTAGCAATGGCTTGGGAAAATAAGCTTAGAGCTGGGTTAAAGGCTAAAAATAACTAGCAAAAACAGATATCTTAAATATAACCTGACTGAATATCATGATAAAATAAGTGTCATTATGTGAGAAATAAAATGTTTGAAAAAATACAAATTTGTCTCTTTGGTATCAACTTACGGTTTTAGCTGCTTCCGAGTGCTGTTTAATGATTGAACTGTATTCATACTGTGTATGCCAGTGTTGTATGAATTCTGAAATGAAAATTTAAAAGCACCAAAAAAAAACAAATCTAGGTAAAGATATTGACATGTTATATTATATTTCTGAACAAATATCTGCTCAAACAAAAGCTATATTCCAGTATCGGGCAATGCAGGTTGTTCTTCTCAGGCCACTTCCATACTATGACCCACTGATTTCCATCTCTCTTAACTCAGGAACAACTGTCATACTACAATGCTGCTGACTCAGGATTGAAGACAATCACTCCCACACAATTCCTCCTTGCGGATATAAAGTTGCCAGACTCCTCAGATTTCATTGTTATAAGTCTTGATCAACAGACCAGGGATATATCAGGGCATGATACCTAGAGAAAAGGATCCTGCTAGCTGCAAGTTTTGCCTAGCTCACAGCTATTCTACCACAGAGACAAAGGGAAATAAATCTGGAAAAAACTTCTGGATGGCAGACACTCGGTTGACCTCATGAAAAAAAAAAGAATCCCATTTCCAATTTTCATGACTGAAAAAACCATAATCTATCAATACTGCCGGCGCAGCATCTCAAGAGAAATTCTTCCAAAACGAATTCCCATTTTGCGGACATATCAGCACCGGATTCCTTCAATGGGGTCGTCAGTGAGCCTTGATCAACAGTTGTGGGATACATCTAATAAGTAAATGAATTTAATTTAACAAACAAAAAAATAGACATTTTAAATTACTGTATACAAAAATGACAAAACAAAGAAAATAAATAATACCTGTTGCTTTTCCATTTCCTCAAAAAATACCATTTAGACACTTTACTTAATGACTATACCTACTCAGGAAAAATTCAAAGCATGTTTCTTGCTTAAACTTCCTGGAAAAAAACCAGGACTGAGCAAAATGCGTGTTAAGTTTCTTGCTCAAGGTTCCTGGAACATACCAGTACTGAGCAATGTGTGTAATGATTCTAACTCAAGGCTCCTGGAGCCAACCAGTACTGAGCAATGCATGCTTTATTTCTTACTAAATGTTCCTGGACTCGACCAGTACTGAGCATTGCGTACATTTCTTGCTCAATTTTCCTGGAGTAAACCAGTACTGAGCAATATGTATAGCTATTCATGCTCAAGGTTCCTGGAGCAAACCAGTACTGAACAAAAATCAAAACATTGTTTCTACTGAAAAATTCTCAAATAAAAGTGGACGTCACTTCAACAAGCCATAATTTTGACTGAAAATGATTAAGCATTGCTTTACCTGGCAAGATATCAAATTATATACATGGCTTCATACATATCATAGCCAGATGGGTCTAGCTATAATAAGTACTTTCCACGACAATATATTCAGTGCTAACTTGAAGCCATTCAGTCAACACTTTTACATAAGCAAGGGGGCAGACGCAGACATTACTTTAAACAAAAGATTTTATGTAGAAAAACTAAAATTATTTACAATATAAACATCAGAAAATATCAAAACAAGGCATAGAAATTACATACTGGAGCCAACAAATACTGACCAATGTGTGCCACATTTCTAACTCAATGTTCCTGGAGCCAACCAGTACTGAGCAATGCATGTAACGTTTCTTACTCAAAGTTCCTGGAGCAGACCAGTACAGAGCAATGTGTGTAATATTTTTTACTCAATGTTCCTGGAGCCAACCAGTACGTACCAATGTGTGCTTTATTTCTTACTCAATGTTCCTAAAGCCAACCAGTACTGACCAATGTGTGTAACATTTTTAACAAAATGTTCCTGGAGCCAACCAGGACTGACCAATTTGTGCTTTATTTCTTACTCAATGTTTCTGGAGCTAACCAGGACTGACCAATGTGTGCTTTATTTCTTACTCAATGTTCCTGGAGCCAACCAATACTGACCAATGTGTGCTTTATTTCTTACTCAATGTTTCTTGAGCTAACCAGTACTGACCAATGTGTGTAACGTTTCTTACTCAAAGTTCCTGGAGAAAACAAGTCCTGAGCAATGTGTGTAAGTTTTCAAACTCAATCTTACTGGAGCAAACCAGTACTGAACAATGTATACCACATTTCTAACTCAATGTTCCAGGAGCCAGCCAATACTGATCAATGCATGTAACGTTTCTGACTCAAAGTTCCTGGAGCAGACCAGTTCTGAGCAATGCTTGTAACATTTTTTACTCAAAGTTCCTGGAGTAAACCAGTACTTAACAAAATGTGTAGCTATTTATGCTCAATGTTTCTGGAACAAATCAGTACTGAACAAAAATCAAAAGATTGTTTCTACTGAAGTTTTCAAATAAAAGTGGACCTTACTATAACAAGCCAGGATTTTGACTAAAAATGAATAAGCATTGCCTTACCTGGCAAGATATCAAATTATATACATGGCTTCATACATATCATAGCCAGATGGATTGATGGCATGGTTAGAGAGTTTGCAGTCTAGCTATAATAAGTACTTTCCACAACAATATATTCAGTGATAACTTAAAGCCATTCAGTCAATACTTTTACTTTAGCAAGGGGGCAGACGCAGACATTACTTTAAACAAAAGATTTTATGTAGAAACACTAAAATTAATTTACTAAAGTTCCACTAAAGTCAACCATTACTCAGCAATGCCTGTAACATTTCTATCTGAAGCTTCCTGGAGTAAACCAGTACTTTGCAATGTGTGTAACATTTTTACTCAAAGTTCCTGGAGCAAACCAGTACTTTGCAATGTGTGTAATGATTCTATCTCAAGGTTCCTGGAGCAAACCAGTACTGAGCAATGTGTGTAATAATTCTATCTCAAGGTTCCTCTGACCAATGTGTGTAACCATTCTCACTCAATGTTCCTGGAGTCAACCAGTACTGAGTGCATGTAACATTTCTTGCTCAATGTTCCTGGAGTCAACCAGTAGTACCAGGGTTGCCAGCACCATAGATAAATAAAATTCCCTGACTTTTCACTGACCAAATTAGGTTTTACACTGACCAAAACTACTGAACTTAAACGGCCTCCACCTCCCTACAGCCGTCCAATCCACCCATTAGTTTGTTTTTTCAATTCTTTTAACAATATGGTATTACATTATTCAACAATAAAACATGCTGTATACATCTCAACAAATTTTGGTAGTTTTGTGTTCAGTAAAATATTAAACTATGCACAATAAGCATACAAATCTAACAAGATTTAACCAGTATTTCTAATAATATTGACAAAAATTAAATAATAATGTATGTTTTAGCTATTGATAGGGTAACAAAATATCCCAAAACACACAAAAACTTTAATAATTAAACAACAAATTATAAACAAGAACGTGTTTGTTAAACACAAATGCCCCTGGCTCAGATTCTTTTCAGTAGCAATATTTCAAAAAATGTTTACCCATTCACTCAGTTATGGACAGAAAAATTGCCCAAAAATTGTTAACACAAAATATATAGCTTGACAAAGTCATGGCATTTTGTAATTGTGAAAAATATAAGTTGCCAAGTCATTGCTCTGACTTGTGAAGTTGAAAAATATTCAACTTCATGCAAGTTATCTTCCTACCAAATATGAAATACATCATTCTGTCATTAAATAAAGGCTGTATGGGCTAAAGTGTAAAATCTATTTTTAGCACTGGTGACCTTGACCAAACCGACCCCTAACTATCCAAAAGAAGAATACTTGTAAGTTATCTTCCTACCAAATATGAAATACATCTGTCAATAAATAAAGGCTGTATGGGCAAAAGTTAAAAAATCTATTTTTAGCACTGGTGACCTTGACCCAACTGACCCCTTACTCCATCCAAAAGATGAATACCTGCAAGTTATCTTCCTACAAAATATGAAATACATTTGTCAATAAATAAAAGCTGTATGGGCAAAAGTGTAAAAATCTATTTTTAGCACAAGTGACCTTGACCCACTGATCCCTACCCCAATCAAAAGGATGAATACCATGCAAGTTATCTTCCTACCAAATATAAAATATATCTGTCACTTAATAAAGGCTGTATGAGCAAATGTGTAAAAATCTATTTTTAGCACTGGTGACCTTGACCTAACTGACCACTAACTCCATCAAAGTTTATGTTTCTATCAATTATAAATAACATCTGTCTTGAATAAGGTCAATACACCTGTAAAAATGTAAAAGTCTATTTTTAACATTGGTGACCTTAACATTGGTAACATTGACCTTGACCCAAATGACCCCTTACTACACCCAAAGAAGGAGGACCTCCCTTGGCATGTTTGTATTAAACTAAGACATTAACTAAAAAATAAAGGCTGTATGAGCAAAAATGTTTATACAGTCGACTCCGGTTATAACGAACTCAATGGGACATTAAAATATCGTTCGCTATATCCGAAGTTCGCTAAAAGCGAAGTAGCAACAACTTGCTGACTTGTTTGGATGGGGAAATTTGCCTTGAAAAAGCCATACTCTTCACTGGTTACCGGTGTAACCGGTATTTTACTGCAGCGGTTATTTAATGCGGGGCATTTTATTGAGCAATATATTATGTACATGGTACATATATTTATTCATGTATTAATTGTCTATGAAGTTCTTACCATTTGTTTTCTTTTGCTATTTGTTTATTATCGTTTGGTTAATATTGCAAACACAAAAAAATGATTACTTGGCAATTATCGGGTATTTACAACAATTAACTGAGGGTGTGAAATACAAATTTTCCGTAACAAGTAGGAAATTATGTTGGGAGAACATTTTTCAAAATCTTTATTCCCTGAAGCCATAACTAACTCGGCAATCATTCGATCGTTTAATTATCGGATAGTGTTATTCATGTACTGATCCTAATCGAGCGCATCCCGATATTTCAATTATAACAGTTTGTTATAACCGAGGAAATTTAAATGTTTTCCGTCATTTGGGGCTTGAAAAAATGGTTCGTTATAGCCGAAAATTCGCTATAAGCGAGTACGTATTAAGCGATATGATTTAATATAAAATAAAGGAGGAATCGGCCGGGATGTCAGATTTAGTTCGCTATTAACGATAATTCGTTATAAGCGAGTTTCGTTATAAGTGGAGTCGACTGTATTTATTTTTTTAAACCAGTGACCTTTGACCTTGACCCTAGAGACCGCTTACTCACAAACAAAGCTGTCACAGGAGACAGCGAAGCTCGACTAATAAAATTACTGACGCAGTAAGGAGGACAAACTATGAAAGAAAAATCAATTATGTATAAATTTATGTATTAAGTTATAGTAAAAAAATTTATATTTTGTTAACATAAATTCAAAGATCAAGGGGAATAATTCTAGAAATTTAGTCATGCTAGAGTTTGGACCTTGTCACACAACATTTGTGTAATGATAAAAAATATATACTTGAAGTTTGAAGTAGATACCTCTTTAAAAAGTAAAAGAAGTTTTTATAGTTTTCTTAAAGAAAATCCTTAGTTCAAAAGAGAGAATAAATGTGTAAATATTGCTTCAAGAGTTATGAACATTGTCACATAAAATGTAATTGATGATAAGGAATAAGTATTTGAAGTTTGAGGTAAGATACCTTTAAAATAAAAAAGTTATAATAAAAAATTAAAAATTTTCTAGTAAAAAAAATCTAAGTTTATGGGGAGATAATTCTTGCAATATTGGTGCTAGAGTTATGAACCTTGTCACATAAGATGTGGATGATGATAACGTAAATATATTTTGAAGTATGAAGTTGATTCCCTTAGAAATAAGAAAGTAACAGTAAAAAATAATATTTTTTATTTGAAAATTCTAAGTTCAAAGGGAGATAAATCTGAAAATATTGGTGCTAGAGTTATGAACCTTGTCACATAACATGAAGATGATGATAACGTAAATATATTTGAAGTATGAGGTTGATCCCCTTAAGAAATAAAGAAGAAACAGTAAGAAATAGTACTTTTTGAGGAAAATTCTAAGTTCAAGGGGAGATAAATCTGAAAATTTGGTGCTAGAGTTTATAACCCTTTGTCACATAAAATGGGGATGATGATAAGGGTACATATATTTTGAAGTATGAGGTTGATCCCTTAAGAAATAAAGAAGTAACAGTAAAAAATAGTATTTTTTAAGGAAAATTCTAAGTTCAAGGGGAGATAAATCTGAAAATATTGGTGCTAGAGTTATGAAACCTTGTCACATAAGATGTGGTTGATGATAAGGAACAATATTTTTGAAGTTTGAAGTTGATACCTTAAGAATGACAAAGTTATAGTGAAAAAATATTTTACTGCACCAAAACTTTAAATCAAAATCTGGACGCGGACGCCGACGCCGGGGCGAGTAGGACAGCTCTCCATATACTTCGTATAGTCGAGCTAAAAAATTAGAGGACCATCAAAGGTATCCACCTACTAAATATAAAAGATATCAATTAAAGAAAAATAAGCAATTAGGAGAAATTTAAAAATAAATCCAAGTTGCCGAATTAGGTTTAACCAGCAAGGCCCCTATTTTCAAAGTGAAAAAAAGGGAAAATAACTGGAAAATGGATGACACAGTTATATAACTTGGCAATTATTTTTTATCATGTAATTTGTATTGATAAGTATGTGTGGAAATTATCAAGGCCATTAGTATAGATAGAACTTAAGATATTTCCAACTTGCCGTTTTAGGTTAAACCATTATTAATTTTCTAAGTACTAAAAGGGCCATAACTTGGTAAATATGAAGCCAGAGTTATGTAACTTGCCCAGATCATGTACTTTGTAATCGATTAGTAAGTGTGTAAACTTTTTGAAGCCATTGGTACAGTTAGAACTTGCAATCCAACTTGCCGTTCTAGGTTAACCTCGTACGGACAGACGGTTCAATTACTATATGCCCGGGGGCATAAAAAGCCAGTGATTATCTCAACTGAACCTATAGTATATATTATATACTATTCACTAGGATTATCATCAATGCAGAGTAAAAGAAATATAACAGTCTGTAAATGTGCCCAGCAAACAACATATCCATTTTTACACAAAACACCTTTCAGATGGATGCTAAAACATGTTTCTTTATGTTGTGAAAAATATGACAAAACATAGGAACTTAATAACTTGAAAAGCAGAGATTAATTGAACTTCATCCCTAATTGAACTTCATCCCTTTGACAATTTTCAACAGGTCATACAAAAATCTAGGGAACTCTCTATCAGAAAGTAGCTGTATGCACCTAGTGTATCATGTTAGTTTAACTCATCATGGTACAAATATTATTTTTCCCTCGACTTTTCCCTGACTTTTAAGGATTTTCATTTTTCACTGACCTATTTTCAAAATTCCCTGACCTTGAAAAAAAATAAGATTTCCCTGACTTTTCAAGTCTGCTGGCAACCCCCCCGAGTACTGAGCCATGCCTGTAACATTTCTAGCTGAAGCTTCCTGGAGCCAACCAGTACTAAACAATGCATGTAACATTTTTTACTCAAAGTTCCTGGAGCCAACCAGTACTAAACAATGCGTGTAACATTTTTTACTCAAAGTTCCTGGAGCCAACCAGTACTAAACAATGCGTGTAACATTTTTTACTCAAAGTTCCTGGAGCCAACCAGTACTAAACAATGTGTGTAACATTTTTTACTTTCCTGGAGTAAACCAGTACTAAACAATGCGTGTAACGTTTTTTACTCAAAGTTCCTGGAGCCAACCAGTACTAAACAATGTGTGTAACATTTTTTACTTTCCTGGAGTAAACCAGTACTAAACAATGAGTGTAACGTTTTTTACTCAAAGTTCCTGGAGCCAAAACCAGTACTAAACCATGCGTGTAACATTTTTTACTCAAAGTTCCTGGAGCCAACCAGTACTAAACAATGCGTGTAACATTTTTTACTCAAAGTTCCTGGAGCCAACCAGTACTAAACAATGCATGTAACGTTTTTTACTCAAAGTTCCTGGAGCCAACCAGTACTAAACAATGCGTGTAACATTTTTTACTTTCCTGGAGTAAACCAGTACTAAACAATGCGTGTAACGTTTTTTACTCAAAGTTCCTGGAGCCAACCAGTACTAAACAATGCGTGTAACATTTTTTACTCAAAGTTCCTGGAGTACTAAACAATGCATGTAACATTTTTTGGAGTAAACCAGTACTGAGCCTAGTAACTATTTATGTTTGTTAAGTTTGTGGAACATTAACCAGTACTGAAAAAAAATCAAAAGATTGTTTCTACTGAAAAATTCTCAAATGAAAGTGGAAGTTACTTTAACAAGCCATAATTTTGACTGAAAATGAATAAGCATTGCCTTACTTGGCGAGATATCAAATTATATACATGGCTTCATACATATCATAGCCAGATGGATTGATGGCATGGTTAGAGAGTTTGCAGTCTAGCTATAATAAGTACTTTCCACCACAATATATTCAGTGATAACTTGAAGCCATTCAGTCAATACTTTTACATAAGCAAGGGGGCAGATGCAGACATTACTTTAAACATAAGATTTTATGTAGAAACACTAAAATTAATTTACAAAACAAAAGACAAGTAAACATGGCCATCCCCCACCAAATGTGTTTGCTCATTGGAAGAATGTATATGTAGTAGAGCAGAATAATTTAATTTTAAGATGTCTTGTGGTAATGAAAACTGATGGCTGAAGTAATTACAGATTTTCATGAAACTGATGTGAATACAAAGGCTGAAAAAACAAAGGGCAATAACTGAAAAGTAATGCAGGGTAGGTTATCATTCTTGCGTGCTGCACTCCTCCTCAACAAGATCTATCCACCTATGAAGTTTCAAGTTGATACCGCTAACACTTTTTGAGATATGCTCCGGACCTAAAGTATAAAAAATAACAAACGGCAAAAACTCAAAAATTATAAAGGGTAGAGTTATCATTCTTGCACACAGTATTCCTCCTCAATAAGATAAATCCTATGAAGTTTCATGTTGACATCTCAAAGACTTTTTGATTAATGCCCCACTCAGGTGAAAAATTAAGTATGAAAAATAACAAAGGGCAATAACTCAAAATTTATGAAGGGTAGAGTTATCATTCTTGTGTGCTGCAATCCTCCTTAATGAGATCTATTTACCTCTGAAGTTTCAAGTTGACACCTTTAACACTTTGTGAGATATGCTCCGGACAAAAAGTATGAGAAATAAACAAGAGCACCTCTAGACGGAGCATTATATGCCCGAAAGTGTTTTTCTTTCTTTATTAAGTATGAAGCATTTGTAAGACATGGGAATTAAATAAAGTATTACCTCCTTCAAATAGCAAACCTCCTATGAAGATTGAATATTTAGGGACAAATGGAACTTTAGTTATGCTCCAGAAACTGTTTTCAGTTTTAAGGTAATAGTGACCTTGAAATTTGACCTTGTGACCCCAAAACCAATAGGGGTGTTCTACCCAATATGGACAATCATCCTATGAAGTTTGAACACTGTGGGCCAAATGGGACTTAAGTTATGTTCTGGAAACTGTTTTCAGTTTAAAAGTAATAGTGCCCTTGACCTTTGACCTTGTGACCCCAAAATCAATAGGGATCTTCTACCCAATATGGACAATCATCCAATGAAGTTGGAACAATGTTGGCCAAATGGAACTTGAGTTACGTTCTGGAAACTGTTTTTAGTTTTAAGGTAAAAGTGACCTTGACCTTTGACCCCAAAATCAATATGGGTCTTCTACCCAATATGGACAATCATCCTATGAAGTTTGAACACTGTGGACCAAATGGAACTTAAGTTATGCTCCGGAAACTGTTTTCAGTTTTAAAGTAATAGTGACCATGACCTTTGACCTTGTTACCCCAAAATTAATAGGGGTCTTCTACCCAAAACGGACAATCATCCTTTGAAGTTTGAATATTGTGGGCCAAATAAAACTTGAGTTATGTTCCATAACTGTTTTCAGTTTTAAGGTGATAGTGACCTTGACCTTGTGACCCCAAAATCAATAGGGGTCTTCTACCCAATATGGACAATCATCCTATGAAGTTTTAATATTGTGGGCTAATTGGAACTTAAGTTATGCTTCGGAAACCAAATTGCTAATGGACGGATGTAAGGACATACAGA